AAAATAAAAATAAAAAATAAAATAAAAATAAATACAACACAAAACATCAAACCACAGACAAGAAAGACAAAAATAAACCAGTGTGATTACAGCAAATTAAAGATTTCTGAAGAGCAAATAAAACACTCAGGAGACTTAAACAGAGACCTATGGAATGGGACAAAACATATCTTATGAGGTGTTCGTAGCCAAAATATATAAGGAACCTCTATAACTATACTGATAGGAACGTAAGATAACCCAGACCTTATAGAATATAATAATACCTCTGAAATTGAACCTACAAGGATACAAGAAATTTCTCTAAGAATTAAAACTAGAACTTGTATATGACCCAACAATTTGACTTTCAGGTTTATATGTAGTGAAAATATTAGCTCTATCTCAAATAGATATTCACACACTCTAAGGGTCATTATTCAGCTTTAAAAATACCAGGAAATCCTGTGTTGTGGCATTGTCATAATGCTTAGAGAAATAAGGCAAATAGAGAGGTAGCTATTTCATGATTTCACTTATGTGTGGGCTTTGAGAAAGTTGTGGTGCACATAAGAGGGTAAAACGGTGAGAAAGGGTGACCAGGCTGAAAGGACCGACGCTAGTCAATGGGGAAAAGTTTCAAAGACAAGTGAGTTTAAATAATTTCAATAGCAGAGAACGCACTGAACTGTGCCAAGCCTAGCTTTAGCGTTCTTACCACACACATACCAAAAGACAGCTCCTCAAGATGATAGGTTAACTAGCTGATTGTGATCATTATTTGGCAATATACATGAGATTTTAAAACTTACTTAAAATGTTATTTGCAATTTTACTTCAGTCTGGAAAACAAGACTATCAAAATGTTGAAATAACAGATGTGTAAGCTAAAATTGAGGATTCTATGAAAATTAAGTGAGAAACAACTAAAAATTAGAAAATAAAAGGGTTGCTCTGGAAGACCAAATAAGGATGTCATAAAACAATGCAAAAATAACCTAAGCTAATGAGAAATCCGCTGGGGGAAGATGTGAATGTGTGGACCTAAGAGGCTTAGCATTCAACAACACTGTTTTGGATAGGGTCATGGTAGAGGTAAGGGGTGGGCAAAGGGGAAGTGAGAACTAGTCTGATCTGGAGTCAGCAGGATTTGCCATTGGACAAGGATAAGGGGAAAGTCAAAGGTCATGGCAGAACTTCCACCTGGGCTTGTTAGAGAAGATTAACAATAGGAGAAGCAGGAAGGAGAACCTGAAGGAGAGAGAGGCTGAGTTTGAGGTAAAAGAAATCAAGAGAGTTAAGTCTTCAAGCTCTTTCCCATAAAGGCTAGTTCCGGGTGACACAGAAAGCAGAGGCACCTTGGGGATTAGGTCAATGTGCTACATTTGCATTTTCATGAATTTTAATTTTATTTTGCATTTGTAAATCACTGTCTGAAGAGGAAAAGATGGTAGTCAGGGAACATTGGAAGCAAGTAGATGTCTGTAATTGAACCTACAGGCATTATTGTCACCTTCTTTAACCAGATGCCAGGACAAAAATGGCTGAGAAGTGTAAAGAACAATATCTTTATCAAGTCTTATTTCTTTATGTTTCATTGAAGGCAAGGTTGTATTGATTCCTTTATGGAACATTTAACTTCAACATGCTCTGTCCTTTCAACACAGTCTCATTTCTTATACAGTTATAGAACCCACACAGTTCAGACAGTTTTTAAAGGTTCATACTTTTCTTCCAGAATTTGAACCAGAAATTTGGGACTAATGCTTCTGCCCTGGCAATGATCGTCTGAACACCTTGGCACCATCAACTGCAGAGTGAATTCAGCAGGATAACGGGGCAGGCGAGAGTTTCAATGGTGAATCACAATGCCTATTCCTTTTCCCTTCTTTTAAGTCTCTAAAGACACAGGGACTCTAAGTTCAAACTGGGAAGTCATGTGGTAGAAACTCTGGCCATTAAAATAACACAATCTTAGATTACAATCTCATTCCCACCCTGAATGGTCAACTGTCATCTCAGTTACCGCTACTCTATGAGATTAATTTTGGATTAAGTTTTCACAGCGGTAGAGTGGAAATGGCTACCTCCTTCCTTGAAGGGTTAGTGTCTCTTATGAGCAGTATAATGCTAGTGGTTCACACAACGGGCTCAAGACATAGATACAGTATGATGCCTCATGGGTGGGTACCACTGGGTAGCTTGGACTCCTCACTTCTCTGCATAAAACTAGATAGCAAAGGCTCTGATTCTACTCAGCATTTAACATCTATCAACTTGGATGGACTAGAAACTATTATTGATACTTAAAACATTGTAGGATTGGGCTGGGAGTATAGCTCAGTGCTGACCTGCTTACCTAGCATGTCTAGGTCCCCCATTTTAGCAGCAGCACTAGAAAACAAGGTGTAAGATTATGTAAAACACACATATGAGTGTTGTACTGTATTACCAGCCCATTTCTCAACTCCCTGTCTTGTGAGGAATTCTGGCATCCCCTGCCCTTGCCAGTTTCCCCCTGGGTAGAGAATACTTCTGGTCCCACCGCCAGATTTAACTACAAGACAGGTTCAGTAGCTAGTGGATGTGGAAAAACCTTTGCATACCAGATCCTACAGGGGCTACATCTATGCTTTCTTTTTTCATCCTCTGATTTAACAGCATACATCACAGACAGCCTTCAACTATGGTTCCAGAGAAACAGGGCACAAGGAGTACTGACCCATAGTGAAGAACTTCAGGAAGGTTTGCAGAGCTTTGAATATGAAAGACATAGTATTTCCATTCTTAGTGCATACCAACACGCATGCTCAAGAGCAAAACAGAAATCCTTTAGTAGTGTGCCAGTAATAACTGTCTTTCAAAAACTCTGATTGATACACAATTGGACATATATTGGATGTGGAAGTATTTAATGCTTTAGTGACAGTAAACTAGAACACATAATGAAGATATATAAAACACCTAATGGATGGATGTCCCTCTATCATCCATCCATTCTGCAAATATTTATACTTTTTACCATATGCCACTACTGGGCTAGCTTCTAGAGATAAAATAGACCAATAATATATCTGCTTTCATGCAACTAACATCGTTATTGGAGGACTTAGAAATTTAACGATAAGGGTGATAGGTAGTGTGGAAAAAATAAACAGTGGAGGCATAAAATGCCAGAAGTGACCATGAGCACAGCACTCTGAAAAGGCTTTACTGCAGAAGCAACTGTTGAGCAGAGACCAGGTGGAACCATGGAGGGAGGTTAGGTGGACAGTCAGAGAGCACATGCCAGGAAGCTGGAAAAGCAGGTGCACCCAGAATGGCTAGAGTGCATAAGGATTAGGTAAGAGACCTTTATAACTGGGGGGCATGAAGTACAGGCCCACTTTGGAAAGTGAAGTCATGAAGTCAGAGAGAACCAGTCATCTGTTTCTTCTGAACCCTTAGCAGAACTTTAATTTTACTATGAATGAGACAGGAAGTCTTAGGAAGATGTGGATAGAGTGACATGCTCTTATCTAAGTTTGAAAAGGACCAGTGGGCTGCTATTTTGAAAAGAGAGTATGAGGTTCAAGTGTAGACACAGAGAAATCATTCGCAAACAAGTGGAACAATCCTAAAGAGACAGTGGTAGCTTGGTGCAAAGGCCAATGAGTGAGTGAGTTCTGATAGGTCTGAGGTAAAAGACGACCGCATGTGTAAATGTGGAGTGGGTGAGCAGAAATCGGCACGGGAGCTGAAATAGGAAGGGGTCGAAGGAGCTGACTTCATATTGCCCTTTCAGGGAAGGATCTGACTTTCTGTTGTGTTCTACACAGACAGCTGGAGACCAATGGCAGCAATCAGGGCTGCTCCAAGGATGAGTTGAAGGAATCAAGCTACTCAGAAAAAAGTGGAGTTCTTAAATATGCCTGGCATGAGGATGCTCTTCCTCCCAGTCATGCTAAAGGGAGGGAACACTGACCCAAGTTTTCAGCAGTCTAAGTGCTCTTGGGTCTAGTGTCCTCCACAGATGACAGTGGTCTCTTATGTCAAGGGCTGTAAAGAGCCTCCAGCCTAGGATCCAGAGTGAAGTTTAATAGTTTGATGTTCAGCCTTACTAAATCACCTTATATTGCCATGTAAGAGCTCCTGTCCCCACGCTGTTCCAAGCCTGGGCTGTTTTACTGTCTCCCGTCATTAATTCTGAGATGTTTGTTAGACATTCGGGTTGTAATATTGAGCAATAGGTAGGTCTTCAATTCAGCAGAAGGTTTAGGATTAAAATATATGTAGAACTATGAGACTATTTTCAATAGTTATAAATGAATAATGTGGAAAGAATGGGTTGCAAGTAATCTCTAGAGGTATTTAGAGTACAGCCCCAGGCTAAAATATTCCAGGGTCACTCAGGATAACTGAGACATTAATAAAGTTTAAAACACAGTGTGGGAGCTGGAGAGATGGCTCACAAGTTAAGAGTATGGCTGCTCTCGCAGAGGACCCAGGTTTGAGTCCCAGCACCCACATGGTGGCTAACAACCATCTGTAACTTAAGTTCCAGGGGATTTGATGCCCTCTTATCTCCATGGGAACTGCCTGACACAAGTGTACCTACCCACATGCAGGCAATACACTCATACACATATAATAAAAATAATACATTGTAAAAAATAAAATGTAACTATGATAATTTTATAATTGTTTATATTCTTAAACCTATTTATTTTTATAATTACTTAAGGTCATGAAAAGGTCATGAAACTGCAGTATAATTTCAGACATGAGTTCCTAGTTTTTGTATATAAAAGAGTGAAATAACTGATTCAAACACCTGTATGATGTTTCTAAAAAAAAAAAAAACAGGTTTTAATACTAATTACAAGCAAAGATATATAATAGTTCTGTAAATGCCAATGAATTTAAGACTATAAATACAAAGGAATTTTAGAATATGCAAGAAAATAGAATATTGATTTCCTTGATAGTTTTCCAAGTAAACAGGTTTAGAAATTATCAAATATTGACATGTTTTCTCTTACCTGGGTAGACAGTACAGTCCATGAATGACAGGTCGTCAATTGCTATATCTCCAGTGAAGCCGTCTCCCACTGATGCCTCCACCAAGATCTGATGAAAAATTTTAAGAGGTTTTGAAATTATGAAAGAAATCAAATTATAGAAACTTGGGGCTGAAGATGGACCCACAATTTACTCAAAGACAACCCTCCTCTTTTGGACATTGGGGTGGGGAGAGAGCTCAGCCAGTAAGTGTTTGCTGTGAAGGCCCGAGGACCTGAGTCTGATCCCCACTACCCACAAAAAAATGCCACTGTACCTGTGTGCACTTGCAACCCCAGCACGGCGGTGAGGGAGAAAGGAGGATATGGGGCTTTGCCAGACATCCTAGCCTAACCTGGTGAGCTCCAGGTGTCACTGAGGGACCCTATGTCAGAGGAGGTAGATAGTGTTTCTGAGGATGACACCCGAGGCTGTTCTCTGGCCTCCACATGCACACACAGTGTGTCTGCCCTACACAAGGATACACATCATACATGCACACATACAAACACGATTGAAAAACGAACTGAAAAAAACATTTTGTGGTTGTTTCCAACGGAGCCCTTTTACCTCTCCTGGTTTCCTTGGTAACAAGGAGTATTATGATTGTCAGGCCTGTTGTATAGGTGAGGCTCACTCTGTCTCCTGACTTTCAATTCTCTGAAATGTCAACATTTCAGATGGACCTACCTCCCTGTAACTTTCAGCCTTCTTTCAGAGTTCCCGTGCTTCCTTCCAAGACTTGGAGGATTTGAAATCCATCTGCTGTCTTCTGTCCCCATTTCTGCCTTTTCCCTATCAAGAGCTCATCTGCTTCTGAGGTTAAACCTTCTCCTGTTCATCGACAGCCAAGGTTAAACCTTTTCATCCTCCCTGAAGCCCATTTGCTGGGTTAATTGCTAGAAAGTATATTTTTAAGGATTTTTAAGCATTTTGTCACATGGACCTATTCAGAAAGACTTTATGAAACTGCTAATCCTATCTGATCCTCATTGGAACCACAATAATCACAGGGAACTGAGATGCCCTTTGTGCTGTAGTAGGGACTATGATTCCATCAAAACTCCAGTAAAAAATTACATACTGATAAACCACTACAGTATCTGGCAGATGGCGATTAGCACTGAGATTTGCTGTAATAGAATTAATCATGATGAATTATTTTAATACTCATGCAAATATGTTGCATACTTCTAGGCATCCTGCCATCATGTAACAAAAAAGAACTTCCAACGGCCTCCAAGTTAAAAGAAAAACACATTTGCTTTCCCAGTCTTAAATGGACATAGGTTTCCATTTCATTGTTTTCTTCGCAAAGGCGCTATATAGGAGTTGAAATTGTTTGACTTCTTTTTTCAAATTCTATCCTGCATTAAAAGTTATTGCATACATCACCAGTCCAGGGAGAGAGTTTTAAATGGTCTAATTGGCTGACCTCAAACCTGTTGGTAACTTCCTCAAAGTTTCCTTTATTTTGTTTTTTAGGTTTTTTTTTTTTTTTTTTTGAGGCCAGAGTATCTTAAAGATTTGTCAACTTGAAAAAGATTTAAACATTTGAGGAATGGGCATAAATAGCTCAGTTGATAGTGCGGAAGGAAAACTTGTGCCCTTTATGAATGTATTCTTTGCCCCACCATCATGATGAGAAAAACTGTTAAGGGGAGTCATCCCACAGAAGGCAAGTCATGCCCGGTGCTATAAATACTGTTAAATACCATGGCTGAGGAGGTCTTGGGCCCCAGGCAGGAACTTACTATTATTGTTTAACTACGTTGATAGGGAGCCAAACTTCCTTCTAAAAATGTATGTTTATACCAAAGACAAGTGCTACTGTCAGCCTTAATCAGAGAAGCCTCTCTTTACATGAACGGGAGTGAATACAGAGACTCCTGATGCTCGAGGCACTGAGAATAAGTGACAGTTTAGTGCTCATCCCTGAATTGTTCATGAAACAGGGCATTCATCCCACTACCTCTAAGACTCAGAGAACATTGCAAAAAAGTGGGGAAAATGTTAGAGCCAGAAATAGAGGAAAGGACTTGGAATTACTCTTTTCTGGGCAAGATGTAGCCTTTGCAACCATGATCACACAGCCACTGTGACTGCCTGCACCGGGCCTGCAATCCACTGGGTCTGTCAAGCTTGAGTCATAGATCAGGGAGGAGTCACAGGGCCCTACCTCTCCCTGCTGAACTACTGTCTGCTGATGGATTCTAGAGGAGGGACAGTCATGGTCTTCAGTTGTATATCCACTCTAGGCTCCAGTAAATAATCCTAAACCATGGTCACATGGATGCACCTGGTTAAGGTCAATGAGTCATGAAACAAAACACAAAGACATAAATGTGGGACACGGCATGTAGGGGGGATTGACAGGGTGGAAGAGCAATAAGAAAATCTGGGAGGAGTATGAATCACCAAAATACATTACATACGTGTACCAAATTGTCAAGAAACACATCTAATAAAATGTTTTTCAAAGAAATATGGGAGATGGCTCAGCGGTTAAGAGCACTGGCTACTCTTGCAGATGACCCAGGTTTGATTTCCAGCATTCGCATGGTGGCTAACAACTATCAGTAACTCCAGTTCCAGAGGGCACAACACCCTCTTCTAACCTCCATGAGCACTGCATGACACCAGTGCACTTACATACATGCAGGCAAAACACTCATACATGTAAAAAAAAATAATACATAAATTTTTTTTTAATTTAAAAATAAATATTATGGAGAGAGATAGCAAAAAATGTGGAAAGAATGTTCAACACCCAAGCCTATAATTATGCTTAGTGAACAGGTATCAACCATCAGAATTTGCCATAACTGACTATAAAAATTTGTTATTGAAGAAAAGCCTATAAATACTCGAAAATGGAAAGAGGCATAAGTAGAGGTAAATTAATCGCTAATAAGAGACTTGGTTCAATATGTATATGTCTAGCTCAAAGCAGAAAGTCGAGCTAGCAAGAGGCTTGGGAGAAAGTGAGGAAACCCAGGTAAATAGAGGTGACCGTGATTCGGTCATTCAGCTCATCCTTGTCAAACTTACTCATGAGCAGGGAGAGAAAGTCAGTATCTAACTGACATTTGGAACATGCAAATATTTGTAAGGTAACTGTAGGTGTATATACCCATACATAGCTTAGTTCTAGGATGGAGTAGACACAACTGTTGTCTATATTGTCACAAATCAAGGAAGTGGCCATTGATGAAAGTTAGAGGAAACTGATGCTCGGTGCCACAGCAGGTACGCAGCCGGCCTGGGAGAATGCCCTGCTTGCTTCTGTTAACCCTTACTTCATCCAGCATAAGAAGCTCCCTAGTGTCACCTCTGCCAAGAACACAGCCAGGCCTTGCTCTAACACATAATTTAATCGTGAGTTTTGTTAAAATTTCAATAGTTTCAAGTACAGATACCAAAAGTATAAGTTTCTATGTCTTACTGCAGTTTTTTGAATATCTAATTAGGTCAATCATGTAAACTGCCTCTTATGGGCCAGAGAAATGGCTCAGCAGGCAATGGCACTTATCACCAAACAGATGGACCCGAGTTTGATCCCCTGGACCCACATGGTGGAAGTAGAGAACCAAGTCCTACAATGTCCTCTGACTTCTATAAGCACACCGTGGCAAGCATATCCCACCACAGACACATAATGAATAAATGTAATAGCAAAAAGCCACTTAGGAACAAATCACAGCCTCAGAAATAATTTTCAAATGCTAAAGTATACATTTCTGCCAAGTATTTAAGTTAAGCTTGTAAAAAGCTTTTTATTACCATTCATGTTCACACACACACACACACACACACACACACACACACACACACACGAAGCCCAAGTATCTTTGTCCTGAAAATTCAATATCCAGTGTTGTTTCCAGAGTGCAGGGAAGTATATCGAAACATTAAATATCATGAGCAAGCCAGGGTCCTGCCATTCTGGAAATTAAGGAAGCCAAATTTTATGTTTAAGTTCCACTGTATCTTATTAAAAGTCAGTCACCTAAGGTGCAATTGAAAATTCAGTTAAGTGTAGATTGCACCTTCTTAAACTCAAGGGTCATATTACTGAATCGGTGGGTCATGAAAAAATTTGACAACAATAAAAGATTTGTTTCACTTTATATGTTAGTCAAACGATTACAAATTAATTCAACATATAATGTATAATGAACTTGACATAGCTTGGCAGTGGTCATCTGTGTTGTGCCATGTAACCTCACTGCTGCCCTGATTCTGAACACAGAGCATGTGCTCTCTGCATTGCACAAACCATCCTACAGGTAACACCACCAGACATTGCCAGAACACCCCAGCTCAGGTTCAGCCCTGATGCATGCTATGAATTGCAGTGCTTTGCACCCTACTCTTATAGGCATGTAGTGGGTTATTATGACACACACAAAATGTTCCTATCATTATTCCTTAGCATGTGAATATCAAGTTTGTCTGTCTTTGGTTGTGTTGTGCTAGAATTTTCAAAATTATGGTTTGAGTTGCAGAATTGATTTTCACAAATATGGTCAATGAATTTTGGATTGGGATAAGGAAAGAATTTCCAATATTTCTGAAATGGCTCTAAGCATATGCCTGTCAATTTTCTACATATTTATCTGAAGTGAAATCCCCAGAATCAACAATGATAAAATGAAAATACTGACATTTAAATATTGACATAAATATTGACAAAAATGAAATATGACATAAAATGAAAATATAACATTGAAGACATTCTTCATCATCCAGCATCAAATACGCAGCCAAGAGTTAATTCTTTATGATTAAATGAGTACTTCCATCATTAATATGCAAATTTGCTTTCTTTAATCTCTAATAAATAAGTTTCATGTATACCAAATAATTTAAAAAATCAGTTCATGATATTCTCTCTCTCACTCTAGCTCTCACTCTCTCTCTTGCTCTCACTCTCTCACCCTCATGCTCTGTATTTTTCTTATAATCACTATGTAGTACACCGCCCTCCTCTGCCATTTTCTCTCACAATGATTCCATGGGCTGTTAAAGACCAAAAGCAACAAAGGCATGAAAAGAGGGGTTCATGA